TACGAATACACATTTCCCATTCCCATTTTAGAAAATAATAAAAATGAAAATTGAATGAAGCATGAAGATGGGTGTATTTGAGTTGTCAAATTGAGATATTTTTTCATTATGGCAACATACTCCACAGCACACAAGTACATACCATGTTTGTGTAAGTGGGCTACCTTATTTTCTATTCCCATCCCTCCTTCAATGTCCACTATTAATACCAATAGCATACCCCATAAAAACCTTAGGAACAATTTTTTTTTCAAATTATTTAAAATAATATATGTATAAAAGATTATTTTTCAATATAATATGACTAGGCTGAAAATCTTTGTGAACTCCACCAACTTATGTATTCTTGACTTTATTCTCTTCCTCCCTCTCAATCTTTCTCTATTGCTAATACTTTATAACTTTGCTAGCTAACTCAAAAGCGTGTTGTTTGAAACCTCAAACTCCAATTATAAGCCATCCCAAAGATCTCTCTTATTTTTTCATTCATTCTCAGCACACACAACAACGATGATGTTCAATTCAAATCTTCTAAGAAATCTCTCCCTCTTACTATTATTCTTCTTCTTCTTCTTGTCGTGCGTGTCCTCCACAAACACCCTCTTCACCCAACAATTCAAAGAAGCACCTCAATTCTACAACTCCCCAAAATGTCCTTCTCTTTCCGACACCCAACATTCAAACCTATTATGCTCCGAACAAGCTGTCCACGTGGCAATGACGCTGGACACCACATACATCCGAGGTTCGATGGCGGCGATCCTCTCCGTTCTCCAACACTCCTCCTGCCCCCAAAACGTCTTCTTCCACTTCGTCTGCTCCTCCAACGCCTCCCTCCTACGCGCCACAATCGCCACCTCCTTCCCCTACCTCAATTTCCAAATCTACCCCTTCCACGACCACCTCGTTTCCGGCCTCATCTCCACCTCAATCCGCGCCGCACTCGATTGCCCCCTGAACTACGCGCGCAGCTACTTCCCCACCCTAATCCCACGCTGCGTCAAGCGCGTGGTGTACCTCGACTCCGACCTCGTACTTGTCGACGATATCGCCAAACTGGCAGCCACGCCGCTGGGAGAACATAGTGTGCTGGCGGCGCCGGAATACTGCAACGCGAACTTCACCTCCTACTTCACGCCCACGTTCTGGTCGAACCCTTCGCTGTCGCTGACGTTCGCGGAGCGGAGAGCCTGTTACTTCAACACGGGGGTGATGGTGATTGATTTGGAACGGTGGCGCGTGGGGGAGTACACGAGGAAGATCGAAGAGTGGATGGAGGTTCAGAAGAGGATGAGAATCTACGAACTGGGTTCGTTGCCGCCGTTTTTGCTTGTGTTTGCGGGGAACATTGTTCCGGTGGATCATAGGTGGAACCAGCACGGTCTCGGAGGAGACAACTTTCGTGGTCTGTGTCGGGATCTTCACCCTGGTACTGTTAGTTTGTTGCATTGGAGTGGGAAGGGTAAACCCTGGGTCAGATTGGACGCTAACAGACCTTGTCCTCTCGATGCTCTTTGGTCACCTTATGATCTTTTACGCACCCCATTTTCTCTCGATTCTTGATAAACATAAAATCAAATGTGAATATCTTTCTCAAGATGCCTTCTTTCATCACAATCCAAGTTTCATCCTTAAAATTCTACACTTTGATGTCTTCCACATGCTTTTATTATGCATGTGATGATGAAGGTGAAACTTTAGTTTTGGCTCAGACACAGTACGAAGATGTCTGATAATGTCTAAATTTTGTTATTTTGATACATGCGTAACATGGCTGTAAACAGAGGTTAGTTTCTCTGCTGTTCAAGTGTAATTAAAGTTAATAATACGTGAAAAGATGAGTGGGGTTTGTGAATTTTTCTTTTTACAGTGACGGAGAACGTAAGATTAATGCTGTAACATATGATGAGTTTGTATATGGAGAAATACTAGTTGTGTAATGAGTTTTGGATGCGTTACTTTCTTGGTTCATGATCGATGATAATTGAACATGATGAAGATTTTGTTCAGATCTTCCTTATTTTCTGGTTTTCCTTCTTCTGTGGTTTGATAATGTGAACCAAGTTCTTGCTTTGTTGCTCTAATTATGTGTGTTTCCGGATTCTGATGATGTTGCTTTGTTCTAGATGACTGAGTTTCAAGCAAGAGCAAGTGGTTGGTCGGTTTCAATTTCACGTTTTTCTAGGTTAAGAGATCAATATTTGTGAATGTTTGAGAGATAGTAGAGTCAAAATCTTCAATTAATAACGCCTAAAAAAACTAAAGGTGATTATCAGATGCTATAATGAAAACGCAAACTGGTTATTTTACAATTATTGCATGGATGAATTTGTAATTTTTTAAAATTTAAAATTACTTAATATTTTTTAAATAAAGTTAATTCTATTCTGTGACATTTTTTTTAAAGCGATAAGCAAATATAGCTGTAAGAGACATTACATTGTTAGTAATAGTAGGAGTAATTGTTTATATTTAGTAAATGGTCAAATGCATGCATGGTTGGTTTAATTTAATAAGGATGATTTTATTTTCAAAACATTTGTATAAAATATATAATGTATATCAAGGAAACACAAGACAATAATAAAATAAATAATGTATATGTCACAAAAAATTATGTAAAAAATATAAAACTGAATGTTTATTATCCACATGTTGAATTAATTTGTATAAAAAATGAATCGATTGTATTGTTTATAAGTTGGTCTTGAAAGGAATATGATGAGGTTGGAAAGGTGTTATGCCAGCCATTAAATANAAAAATCGACTAGTTAAATTAACACTTAGTTAATAATAATCACAAATTAATAAATATTGATTAAAATATGATTGAACAAGTCGACAAAAAATAAAAACTCATAATAATTATTATAAATAAATAAAGAAATAGAGATTTAACGTAATGATTATTCACACATATGTTAATATCTCTCAATCAATTGTTTACTGAATATAACATCATAATACCTATTACAAATACTATCTTAACGATTTTGAAAAAAAAAAAACATCGAACAAATAAAAGATAAAAACGATACAAAATAAACAATTGAAAATACTCAATTTGCAGAATCAGCTTAATATTATAAAATTCATATATTATATTTACAATCTTAATAATATATTCTAAAAGAATTAATAAAATACCAGTGTTGATATATTCTCAATAAAAACATGTAAGCATAATTGATATATAACAATAACTAGTTTGATTAAACTACAAGCATAGTATAGAATCATGTAACCAACGAAATTTATTTTATAATTAATTTCTCTTAGATCAGGTTAGAAAATAGTTGATACTATAGTTAATTATTATTGAAACCAAGCGAGTCAATGAAACGAAGATTGGGTTACAACAAGCCAATTGAAGGAGTAAATTAAAATACATTGACATATGGGTCAGTTAAATGTACGGTACTTTCTAACATTGCATTATGAAATTAATAAATATAGCACAGCTCATAAAGGGTATTAAAAGTCATCAAAAAGTTTATTTTTACTCGTTTAAATGAAAAAAAAATATTTTTAATTTTTTAACGAAATATATTCCAAGATTGAATTGAACTAATATATATATTCCGTTGTTGAATTGAACTAAAATATTATAATATTCAGTACAGCCAATTAAGAAACAAACCCATTCTAAATGACATCTATTTAATACGTGGTTAATAGATGTTGGATCTTATTAATAAAACTTATAAATTATTTAGAAGTTAATAATCTTTTTAATTTATAAGTTTTTTACTGATAAGTTAATTCATCTTAAAAGTACTTGATAATCTTTTGTTCCGAGAAAATGAAATAATTCTTGTACACCTCACTTCTTAAAAGTTGAATATATAATAATAATTATATATGACTTTCTCTATTAGTTTCGTAAGATATCTTTTTCAGAACAATATTGTTACAGAGTTCATTTCAAACTTAAAATCAGTCAATACTTTAAGTAAAACTGTGTCAAAAACTAACTTAAAAATAACAAAAGAACTTATTAATTGCCTTATAAGTATATCATTTTAACAAAATTATTAAATAATAATAATAAAATATTATTAATTGCATGTGTATTTTTAAATATTAAATAATATAGTACGTTTAAAAAAATATGTAAAAAATATGTTGAAATTAGAACTTTCAGTAAAAAAAAGTCAAAGATTGTATGTCAATATTGATTTGAAAGATAAATTGATCAAATAAAAGACTACAAAAATTCAACCTGAGGAGCAGTTGAGTTTGCTTAAACCTAAATCAATGAGTATATATCTTACCTATTAAATGTGATCATTTCTTGAATAATTAATTTCTTCTAAATTAGAAATGAAGCGATGTGAAAATGCTCGGTTGCTGAGACAAAGTTTTCTGATGAATGCGACATATATAGTTTCACTAAATAAAAATGAAATTCATCAATGCCATGACCAGGAACCATGAACAACGTTGAATGTGAGTAAAAAACATCATTAATTAGATGTTCTTTATTACTTTGGCACAACAGTGCTCTACCGTTCTAAATTTCTAAGTCAAGTGTCCTTATTTGGAAGGACAGTATCCTAAAATAACCTCTATTCCAGTGAGTGAAAAATTTGAGAGAAATAAAGAAATATAAACACGTTTGGTTTGAATGTACTTGCATGGTAGATAACTGTTACGAATACACATTTCCCATTCCCATTTTAGAAAATAATAAAAATGAAAATTGAATGAAGCATGAAGATGGGTGTATTTGAGTTGTCAAATTGAGATATTTTTTCATTATGGCAACATACTCCACAGCACACAAGTACATACCATGTTTGTGTAAGTGGGCTACCTTATTTTCTATTCCCATCCCTCCTTCAATGTCCACTATTAATACCAATAGCATACCCCATAAAAACCTTAGGAACAATTTTTTTTTCAAATTATTTAAAATAATATATGTATAAAAGATTATTTTTCAATATAATATGACTAGGCTGAAAATCTTTGTGAACTCCACCAACTTATGTATTCTTGACTTTATTCTCTTCCTCCCTCTCAATCTTTCTCTATTGCTAATACTTTATAACTTTGCTAGCTAACTCAAAAGCGTGTTGTTTGAAACCTCAAACTCCAATTATAAGCCATCCCAAAGATCTCTCTTATTTTTTCATTCATTCTCAGCACACACAACAACGATGATGTTCAATTCAAATCTTCTAAGAAATCTCTCCCTCTTACTATTATTCTTCTTCTTCTTCTTGTCGTGCGTGTCCTCCACAAACACCCTCTTCACCCAACAATTCAAAGAAGCACCTCAATTCTACAACTCCCCAAAATGTCCTTCTCTTTCCGACACCCAACATTCAAACCTATTATGCTCCGAACAAGCTGTCCACGTGGCAATGACGCTGGACACCACATACATCCGAGGTTCGATGGCGGCGATCCTCTCCGTTCTCCAACACTCCTCCTGCCCCCAAAACGTCTTCTTCCACTTCGTCTGCTCCTCCAACGCCTCCCTCCTACGCGCCACAATCGCCACCTCCTTCCCCTACCTCAATTTCCAAATCTACCCCTTCCACGACCACCTCGTTTCCGGCCTCATCTCCACCTCAATCCGCGCCGCACTCGATTGCCCCCTGAACTACGCGCGCAGCTACTTCCCCACCCTAATCCCACGCTGCGTCAAGCGCGTGGTGTACCTCGACTCCGACCTCGTACTTGTCGACGATATCGCCAAACTGGCAGCCACGCCGCTGGGAGAACATAGTGTGCTGGCGGCGCCGGAATACTGCAACGCGAACTTCACCTCCTACTTCACGCCCACGTTCTGGTCGAACCCTTCGCTGTCACTGACGTTCGCGGAGCGGAGAGCCTGTTACTTCAACACGGGGGTGATGGTGATTGATTTGGAACGGTGGCGCGTGGGGGAGTACACGAGGAAGATCGAAGAGTGGATGGAGGTTCAGAAGAGGATGAGAATCTACGAACTGGGTTCGTTGCCGCCGTTTTTGCTTGTGTTTGCGGGGAACATTGTTCCGGTGGATCATAGGTGGAACCAGCACGGTCTCGGAGGAGACAACTTTCGTGGTCTGTGTCGGGATCTTCACCCTGGTACTGTTAGTTTGTTGCATTGGAGTGGGAAGGGTAAACCCTGGGTCAGATTGGACGCTAACAGACCTTGTCCTCTCGATGCTCTTTGGTCACCTTATGATCTTTTACGCACCCCATTTTCTCTCGATTCTTGATAAACATAAAATCAAATGTGAATATCTTTCTCAAGATGCCTTCTTTCATCACAATCCAAGTTTCATCCTTAAAATTCTACACTTTGATGTCTTCCACATGCTTTTATTATGCATGTGATGATGAAGGTGAAACTTTAGTTTTGGCTCAGACACAGTACGAAGATGTCTGATAATGTCTAAATTTTGTTATTTTGATACATGCGTAACATGGCTGTAAACAGAGGTTAGTTTCTCTGCTGTTCAAGTGTAATTAAAGTTAATAATACGTGAAAAGATGAGTGGGGTTTGTGAATTTTTCTTTTTACAGTGACGGAGAACGTAAGATTAATGCTGTAACATATGATGAGTTTGTATATGGAGAAATACTAGTTGTGTAATGAGTTTTGGATGCGTTACTTTCTTGGTTCATGATCGATGATAATTGAACATGATGAAGATTTTGTTCAGATCTTCCTTATTTTCTGGTTTTCCTTCTTCTGTGGTTTGATAATGTGAACCAAGTTCTTGCTTTGTTGCTCTAATTATGTGTGTTTCCGGATTCTGATGATGTTGCTTTGTTCTAGATGACTGAGTTTCAAGCAAGAGCAAGTGGTTGGTCGGTTTCAATTTCACGTTTTTCTAGGTTAAGAGATCAATATTTGTGAATGTTTGAGAGATAGTAGAGTCAAAATCTTCAATTAATAACGCCTAAAAAAACTAAAGGTGATTATCAGATGCTATAATGAAAACGCAAACTGGTTATTTTACAATTATTGCATGGATGAATTTGTAATTTTTTAAAATTTAAAATTACTTAATATTTTTTAAATAAAGTTAATTCTATTCTGTGACATTTTTTTTAAAGCGATAAGCAAATATAGCTGTAAGAGACATTACATTGTTAGTAATAGTAGGAGTAATTGTTTATATTTAGTAAATGGTCAAATGCATGCATGGTTGGTTTAATTTAATAAGGATAATTTTATTTTCAAAAAATTTGTATAAAATATATAATGTATATCAAGGAAACACAAGACAAAAATAAAATAAATAATGTATATGTCACAAAAAATTATGTAAAAAATATAAAACTGAATGTTTATTATCCACATATTGAATTAATTTGTATAAAAAATGAATCGATTGTATTGTTTATAAGTTGGTCTTGAAAGGAATATGATGAGGTTGGAAAGGTGTTATGCCAGCCATTAAATAGAAACAATGACATGTGCAATAATAAGTAATTGTCAGTGAAAAGAAAAAGAAACTGATGATTGGAGGTCAATAAACTACGATTTAATTTCAAATTCTAATACTAAAATTCAATTCTAATGTATATGATGGAAAGTACTTTACCCTCTTGCCTACAAATCGAAAATAAATAAAGGAAAAATTAAAAGTAATTTTGCAAAATAATATAATTAAATTATATAATATTGTTTTACTATAGAAACTAAGGTAAAATAATGAGTTTTGAGATGAATATTTAATTCGAAAAATAAGAAAAAAGGACGGAAGCAGTGTCGGTAGAGGAAGAAAAAAGAAGTGATGAGAACATATTAAAAAGATGAAAAATGAAAAATAGAAAAATGGGTAACATGATTTGTACGACACACTTTCTTCTAAGGAACCCAAAATTCAAATCTAAAACAATAACAATAAAATACGACAAAACTTTGATATTTATGTTTTTGGTGAATTACTGAAACACGTAATAGTAGTAAATTGAAATGAAGTACATCCACTGTAGAATTAGTTATATAATGTTTTTCGTAGGGCCCTTTCAGTATCTACCACCACTCTCGCACGAATCTTTGTTCCGTGTCACATCCCTTGCATTAATGCTGAAATAAAATTAATATTTTATATGCATTAAATTTATTTTTAAGTTTATAAACTATGAAATTGAATTTGTTTGTATCAGCTTTTATATAATTTAATCTTCAAATATAATCATTTAAATATAATTCGATAAAAAAATAATTTTATATTAAAATTTAAGTTATTTATATTATTTTTCACATTTTAATTTAAATTTCAATATAAAATATCATTTAAAATGTAAATTAAGAAACTATTGAATTAAAAAAATTATATTTATTTTTTTAAGTTTAAGAACTAAAATATATTGAAATTTTATTCTGGTTATTATTGCAAGAACCAAATTATTTTATAAAATGAATTTTCTTTCTGTTTTTATATTTTATTATTTTTTAATATATTTTTCAAATATTTTCCTCTTACATAAATATGCTTATAAAAACAAATAGTTCAAATTAATTGAATTTTATAAATAAAAATAAACATAAAATGTTAAAGTTATATTACTTATAGTCACTTAATGAGTTTTTTTTTTCATATCTTAATAGACCTAAATTAAACGACCAAGTTAATTTTAATTTATAAATTATACAATAATGATGTTTCGTATCTGATTAGAATTTATTGTAAGGTCCCGGCAACTCACAGGGAATGTCGACTGCCCCCACAGATCACCACGAGGCTTTCCAGTGTGCTTTGTCCTCACTCGCACACTTTCCGGGAAAACTTCCTAGAAGGTCACCCATCCCAGAATTACTCCAGGCTAAGCACGCTTAACCATGGAGTTCTTATGAGTCAGGCTACCGAAAAAGCAAATGCATTTGGTGATATGAGTAGCCAAATCAATCCCTTTAAGCTATCCTTCAACTGTATAGTCCCATACCTATACAGTCTCTAGATCCCTCTCATTCCGGTGTATGTTCGATTCATCCATGTGCCCCTTCCACCGGAAGCCTTGCCAGGAGCCGCTCTTTGTCAGTGCCCCTTGCACCATGCCTCCTGCACCGGCGTCACTCCCCGCCCTCTTATCAGTGCCCGGGTTTCACATGCCCACCAACTTCCGCTTGGTTCGTCCTCGAACCACACCGTACTGGGAGAGGCTAGGCTCTGATACCATTAATGTGACATCCCAAAATATAGTAACCACATCATATAATTTAGGAGTCAACATTCCCAATAAAGAGAACAGTTAGAGAATGACTTGCAATTAAATACAGAATTACAGTCATCCAAAATATAATACAGAGTTTTAAACTTAGACATTTTAGAGTATTTAATCTCCAAAGGTTTAAATATCTAAATCCTAAGTAGACTGTGCAGCAGCATCATTCTCCTCCAGCTCTTACTCCAAGGAAACCTCCTCGACAACATCTGCTCCCATCCAAGTGGATGATCATCGCAAAGAAAAACATACACAAACAGCACACAACACAGAAGCAAGGGTGAGCTAGATAAACAGGCAATAATCATATTGTTCAATCAATTAATAATCATCATGCTTAGTACATATAAAACAGTTAATACATAACACTTTAAACCATGACTCAAACACTCACACGACTCATCCGGATTTGTATAACTATCGAACTATTGGTCGTCTTTGCACTTGCGTAGTTCAGCTGGCACTCCCCAACACTATGCAAGGTAAATCCCCCAATCTGTCTATGTCTAAACTCTAAGACTATAGACGAGGACCTCCCTCTACTCTCACCACTTACACTGCTCTCCTCTATCTGAGTATGAACAGTGCTTCGAGTGTAGGGATAGACATACCAGTTCAAAGCTCCATACAGTTATACAGAACAACATCAACACCCCACACAACCACTTTCAGTCATCTCACCCTGAGATGTCCAATTCATACTCACATACATCATTATAGTTCACAACCACATTATTTCCAACCACTCATACCTCATACATAATGTACATGAAAATCTGTTAAGCAAACAATATTAATCATACATTCATATACTTTCCACATAAATCTCATCATACTATGCATTCCAAACATCCCACATACAAGACAATCTGTTAAGCAAACAACATTAATCAATCCAATACACATTACCAGACAATAACAGTCCCAAGAGAACCACTAAACAACACAAAACCCCGTAAATCATACTTAGACAAAGAAAATGGCTTTGAAACCATCACCAACAGTTCCAGAAGGGTTCAAAACCTCCAAAACGACTTAAGAAACGTCCAAAACAGACATCCGAAACCCCAAAAACTATCAAAAACAAAGACAAAACAAATTTCTGCGAAAACCTCGCGCCCGGGCGCCAAAGAAGGGGCGCTGGGCGCGACTTTTTACAAGAATCAAGCGCCTGGGCGCCACCAAAGGGCGCAAGGAGCGAACCAGAAGTCGTCCAGCCCCATACCAGTTGACAACAACCATTTTACACCTGTTTTGATCAGTTTGATGACTCTAACAAGTCACAAATGACTTACCTAAGATATCACAACAGCCCAAATGTACTCAAAATCCTTACTTCCCAAAATCACTACCTCACTTCCTCTCAAAGTGACCCAAGACTCTATCAGCTTGTTCAAAACAGTGTATACTTTCCTTACCTTCCACTTGATCACCCCTCCAACAGAATACATACATCAACATACCAATCTCAAATATCATCCCAGCCCAACCACATCCACAATCATAAATTTCCAGCATACAATTCATGCAGCAAATATCAAAATACAATTTCAACCCATAGAAAAGGATCTAGCTCCCCTTACCTCGGAGTTGAACTACCAAGCTCACAGGAACACTCCTTTATAGTGTCTCACACACGAAAATTCCACCACACCCGGTCGGAACGGAGAAAACGTTCGGTAGAAATGAAGCTCCCTACGCCGCGAACGCTTGAGCAGTGCCTATCTAGAATTCTTACGGTTCAGAGAGTTGGAAATCTAGAGAGAAGGCAGAGAGAGCTTTAGGGCACAAGAGTTTAGAGAGAGAAAAGAAATGAGGTTCAAGAAAGAGAATGGGTTCTGAAGAGCCCCTCCTAAGGTCAAATTGGCCTTAGTCTGATGGGCCTGGCTGCCCCACATAAGGCCCAAAGGCCCTTTGTTAAATTTACAGGCCCTCACATTTATACAAAGTGAAATTTTATCAATTTATTTATAAGTAAAAACTTTTTTTTGTTATAAAAATTAGTTCAATTTTTATCTTAATATACCTATATTAAGTCTCTAAGTTAAAGTATTAAAATATCAAATTCTCCTTTTACTCTTAATCTATACACCGGTAAAAACACATACGTATGTGTATTAACTTTTTATATAATAATTATTTTTCTAAGACCAAAATCAGAAGATTTTTTAAAGTAGTAAAGATTCATTATTCTTTAAATTCAAATGGTTGAAGACTTTAATGTATCTTCAGACTGAAAAGGAGTATGCTTCCAACTTCGTACCTTTAAACTAAAATCTTTGATGTCCATGTCTTTTCAAGATTAAGAAAAGATATATCTGCAAAAGATATTTTGATAATTA